CAATCATATTTGTCGTGTATATCGATGTGTAGAAACATTTACCCTAAAAAATCACAACTGTACATAAGTAAAGCGCTTACGAAAACGTTTATCAAACTATTAAAAATGAGCCAAAATACGTAAAAAGTCCTATGATAATAAACATTCATCATCATTCATCATTAAGTTGCACGATCGTTTAAGGTAAGGTTTAACCTCTTATACCCCCTTTGTGTTCTCCGCTATTGAATTCTATAAACTAAATTTTCACACAGGTGGGCATCAGCTTGCCCGCGGACAAAGCTCTTTCAAGTTTTCTATACTACTAAGGGCCGGTTTCTCAATGTCTGGTGATCACTTCCTCACAGCTAAACATGCAGCTTCTTTGCGTAAACCGTAAATTAGGCTAAATTGTACGACTCGAAAACATTGGCATTGTCTACTGTCGTTAACAGTGGCTACACACGACGAACATATCCGCGCACATGCGCGGCTTGCGGGTCATGTTCGTCGTTTGTAGGGCGGTTTGCGAGCATGCTCGCCAAAAATCAAAAAATTTTGATTTTCAGCGAGCATGCTCGTCGTTTGTAGCGTGGTTTGCGAGCATCGCATTGGAAACAAAAACAACAACCTCATTTTGTGTGGATGCTTGCAGTGTGCACATCGCGGATAAATGCATCCAAGCCATGTGCGTTAATTGAATTTTTGATAATTGAGGCTAAATTACTATATGTATATGTATGTACATACATATAAGTAAAATATAAATAAATTTAAGTGACACATACATAAAAAACCCTAAATCATAAGTATTTCAATTGCATCATCCGCGTCTTTTCTTTCCATGTTTACGCTTTGAGTACAAAATCACTTATGAGCCGCTCGCCGTCTGTAGCAAACGACAGCGAGCATGTTGGCGCACATGTGCGCGGATATGTTCGTCGTGTGTAGCCACTGTTAGGTTTAACCCCTTAGGGCCGGTTGTTGAATGTCCGGTTAACACAAATCAGAGGTATAAGCACCGGTTAAATACAAACACTCACATGTTATATGCATGTTATCGAAAACGTCGATAATTGTGTTTAACTGGGAGGTGACGATAATGAAACATTGAACAACCGGCCCTTAATCCCCTTTATGTTCGCCGCTACTGAATTCAATTAACTGTCAGTTTTAACACAGGTTGGTATCAACTTGTCTGCGGGTAAAGCTCTTTCAAGCTTTCTATACTAAGGCCCGGTTGTTCAATGTCTGGTTATCACTACCATTACACTATCGACGACGTAACATGTGATCGATAAAGCAGTAGTTGTGCTTAACCGGAGCTTCTACCTCCGATTTGTGCTAACAGACATTGAACAACCGGCCCTAAATTGTGAAAAGTTTGTTGCTAGGTTAATGTCGCCAACATGTTGCAAGCTTTTTAACAGCGTGAACAGAGTACTATTTGTGGAGGAAACGTTGTGGAAATCACACTTATGTACATATTTCACGAAAAAAAAATTGTATATACATTTTTACAGTATTTATTTTTGGCTTTAAAAAAAAATTATGTTTTTTCGTTACAGTCGATAGATGGCATTTCGTCCACTTGAAGTAATAACAATAATCTGTAAGACGGCGTGAAACTTATCATACGCCCTGGTTTTGCCTTTAAATAAAATGGTCTGAACATGAAATATACATATGTACATATTTATGGGAAAATTAAATGCATGAAAACTAATAAACTCCAGGGGATAAAACGAAACTATTTTTCAAAACATACGCTTTTGTTGCATGAACGAAAGACACAAGATCACGCCTTCCCGAAAGAAAGAAAAAAGTTATTTTCTAGCTGTTGAAATCTCGACGCCATCTTTGTTGTAAGAAGTAAACAACGAAGAGAACAAAAAAAACGCGTAATTGTTGAACACATGAATAATCATTTTTATTATGCGAATTCTTCTTTAAAGTGTGTTTGCATTGTTCAACTTTGCGTTCAACTCAGCGCAGGGTTGCACGAAAAAAAAGTTGAATGGCTAAAAATATCAAAATATAAAAAAATATCAAAATATTCGCCATCAAAAGGTGTTTGCATTGTTCAACTTTGCATTCAACTTTTGGTTGAATGGCCTTTCAACTAATCGCTTTCAACAAAGTTGGTCGCCAGCCAACATTTAGCCATTCAACCTTTTTTTCGTGCAACCCTGCGTTGAGTTGAACGCAATTGTTGAACGCAAAGTTGAATAATGCAAACACTGCTTTACCTTTAGTCTGTTCCAATAGCAGTCCGGTTTACAGGATTTAGTCAGAACTTACAGGAAGTCGTTCCTATTGACATAAAACCTGTAAGTGGGAACACATTTGAGAGAGTAACTGAGCAACTGTTCCTAGTCAGAAGTTACAGGATTTAGTCCGGAGTTTCTTTTCCTGTAAGTTCATGAAAAGTGTCAAACGATCAGCTGATTTGCATGTGCAAGCAAAAACTAACAGCGGTGAAAGCAAAGTACCTTATATTTGTAAAAAAATGGAAGTAAACAACGAAATGTTTGAATATGTATAGATTTTAATAATTAGTGATATTTAGCAAATCAGTGTTATACAAATGACATGTAAACAAACCGACTGACCTTTTTACAGGAAATAATTAGTCTGTTCCAATAGCAGTCCGGTTTACAGGTAGTCAGCTTAAGAAGTGTTCTATTGCTAAACTTATGAACATTCAAGGAAGTCGTTCCTATTGACATAAAACCTGTAAGTGGGAACACATTTCAGAGAGTAACTGAGCAACTGTTCCTAGTCAGAAGTTACAGGATTTAGTCCGGAGTTTTTTTCCTGTAAGTTCATGAAAAGTGTCAAACGATCAGCTGATTTGCATGTGCAAGCAAAAACAAACAGCGGTGAAAGCAAAGTACCTTATATTTGTAAAAAAAATGGAAGTAAACAACGAGATGTTTGAATATGTATAGATTTTAATAATTATTTTAGTGATATTTAGCGAAATCAGTGTTGTACAAATGACATGTAAACAAACCGACTGAAGTTTTTACAGGAAATAGTGCTTTTTGCGTTCCTATGCACTTCTGCATCTGTTCTCCTTTTACTCTCATTTGAGAGAGGTTCACTTTTTCTTCAACGTTCTAAACAAGCGCTGACCCGCTTTGCAAACATTTTTTCTCCGACCAAATTTCCGACCAAATCAAACAACGGGCCAAAAAAAATTTTTTCGTTTTTACAAAAACCAACTCAAATATATTTTATTTTTAACAATTCACAGTTTCTTAAATACATAAGAAATATGTATATGCAGTTGTGCATATGCACATAGTATATGAGATCAATGTATATATGTACCTATAGTCTTTCGCATTGTAGCAAATCACATTGTTTCATTAACATAGAAATTCATAGAAAAATAACACTTAAATGCATGTACGTACGAATTAGAAAAATTGCTTGTTTAAAACAACCATTAATTCAAAAGGAATAAAAAGTTATCACAAACTAATTCAAATCTTTTTTAACTGTCCATACATAGTGGGGACTTTTTATATTGACGAGCTCTTTACATAGCATGATGCTATTAATAGTACTTAATTCTAGTCGATTACGCAATTTAGTTTTAATAAGAGAAAGTGTCGAAAACTTCCGTCCAGCCGCGGCAGAACTGTGCGGAAGTGAAAGTAAATTAAAAATGAAATTAGACAATTCGGGAAAGCTTGTTTGGTTGAGACCATTTTTTAATAAGCTCACCTTCATCCAAAATGAATCCAAATCCATATCAGCAGAAAGATTTACATCACTCAACCTTAACAAATTCCACTAACTGGTAATTTGGTCAGGGTCGCAATTTACTAATTCACTGAAGTGAAGTATCAAAGGGAGTATCTGCAAATCTTCCTCTGACAAGACTTTGGCCGGGGTAATCATTTGCAAAAGTTTAATATCCTCGCGGTTAAAATCAAACCGGATATTAATTTGGTTTAAAAGCTCGATGTAGAACGAAAGTACATTTCCCTTTACTTCAATCATATCATCTTCACTTAATTGTTTTTTTATATACATCTCTGCTTTAGTTCCTATGCGCAAGCAACACAAAATGCGAATCCATCCTTTTCTTGTAGCCAATCGAATGATTGTAGCCACTCGGCCCTAAATTTTCGTTTAGAATTTCGGCACTGATTTGATTCATCACTACGAAAAAATAAAGTTAAACAAGAAAAACAACAATCGAATAAAGCGCCAATTTCGTGTACAGGTTATCATGAAATAAGGAAATATGCCGCGAAAATACCCTTGCAAACGCCACTGGACTTATTTCACTTTAACAAAATTACCTGCACAATTATTAAAAATCTTAAAGCAAAATGTTAAATTGAACTCTTTATTAATATGTACATATATACATGCATATATTTAAGGTAACTTACTTATCCATTGCCACAATTTTACCCGTGCCTGATTTAAAAAGATGTTCATTTGCAGAGATGTGCAAAACTCGACTTTAACATTGTCTTATCGCACTATTTTAATCGAGTTGTGCGCTGTGTTTATAATAGGTCGGTTTCACACTAGAACATTTCTGCCACCAGAACAACTCTGTTTGTTGGCGATGGGGTGAGGAAAAGTTTGTCAAAAAGTTGTTCCAGCTTCTACCTCGCATTAAAGTGGCAGTTCTCATTCTAGTGTGAAACCGTTAATATTTGTGAACACAAACTTGGAGCTGTGTTTCATTAACACTACAGTAATTTTATATATACATATACATACGAAAAATATTGCAAATTTGTAGGCACAGAATAAATTTTGTGCACTAAAAAATATTCATATTACAAAACCGGCCAAAATTTGTTCTAGCCGCCCAACCGGCCAAAGTGAATTAATCCGACCAGATTTGGCCGGAAACGCCCAAGTTCGGCAACACTGGTTCTAAACAAACGCCCAGCTGACAAACCCGCTTTCGCAAACTTTTTTCTCAAAACCAGTTACTAATACAACGTCGCGTTCTTACGTGATCTTGTATTTTTGGTTCATGGGTCATGCGACTACGGGTTAAAACTGCCAATTTTCTAACACTAGATGCCGCGTATGTCGATTGGGTTGGCAGCACTGTCTCTTGGATTCCATAGCGGGCGTCTGTTAACGGATTTGAAAATTGTGTGCGTTCTGTGTCATTGATGGCAGATGTTTGTGTGAATTTGCTGCAGTTTTGTTTTGTAGAGTAATTGAAATAATTGTGAAATATTGAGAGAAATAATTGAAAGATTGGGAATAATTGCATTTTAAAGTGCTATTTAATCTAAGACAAGCTGGTTTGCAGGACAAAGAACGAAATGGAAGAATTATTAAAAATAGTTGAGGCTAGTGAAGAATATTGCGATGAGCTACATCAGCTGAAAGAGGTAGCGCCGCAGCATTTACATTTTAATAAAATTATGTATACTAGTTTTTATTTGCGGTCTAATTTAAGAAATTCATGCAAGACTTGCGAGCAAAGCTTAGTGGACAGAAGTTGCCGGTTACCGAATCGAGCAACTTGGGTCAGCTGCCTACCGTGACACCGCAACAAACAAAGAAGCGCATAAAGCGGTTATCCGACTTAAATGAAAGTGATAGTAAGTTTAAAATTGTTTGTATTGGATAAGGTTTCATGTACTTAAGTTTCAAATTCTTCAAGCAGCCGAATCTATTCCTGAAAAAATTTCGCCCTCTCGCAATTCGGCACGTACAAGTAATTCTAAACTTCTGGCCACGGCTGTTGCCATGGAAGCAGAAATTGATGACGATGCCATTCATCAAACTCCACAAATTAATCCCACAGCAGCCCCAAGTAGCGCCAAAGTTCCGCATACGGAGCCAACTGAGGTTCAATTAATGCCTCCACCGCCGGCGCCTCTTGCGCCTGCGCCGAGTGATATATTGCAAACAAGTTGCATTGAAACTTCATTTGTAAGGCCACAACGTGCTGCCAAATTAAAATCAGAGAAGAACTTAAAGGAACCGAAACTTAACAATAAATTACGTCGTCCGAGCAGTTGCGATACCCCTAGGGTAAAATTAGAGCATGAAGAACGTCCTTCACAAATGCATCAAGTTGATGATGACGCATCAGCAACTAACAGGGATAGTACCAAGTCTACTGCGAGCGAGAGATCTGAGGATTCGGTGGTAGCCATACCAACTAAAGCTCCATCTGTGGTGGAAATAAATTCAGAAGATGAGCAATCAAACGAAAAAGGGTCAGAGCGTGAGTAACCTAAACGTAGGGTCTTATTTTGACTTTTAGGCTAACTAATATTTAATATAGGCAATTCTGTGGAGGATGGTAAAGTGCGGAGCCTGCGGATCAAGATTAAACGGGAAAAGAGCAGCCTGGGTAATACAGAAAAAAATGCGGATTCTTCTCCCCCATCGTCCACTATAGAGTCATCCGTTAGTACTCAGCTAATTGTACCTCTGCCAAAGGTAAAGATAAATTTTGTAAAAAAAATTTATTATGTCAACATGAAATGCCATTTAGGTTGCCGTAAAATCTGAAACTGGAAGTGACGATTCGACAATTGCATCCACTACCATCTCTGTAAATACAACTTCAACTGCAGGCAATACCAGGCGTCGTAAGAAGAAAGATGCACTGCCTAAACCTATAAAAGTCGAACGGTTTAGCGATATTGAGGATAATACTCGTACCCGTAAGGGGCGCAAGCAAAACCGTGGCTCTGGCGGTTCTGTTTATGAGGATGCCGTTGACCATCCACTCACAACAGGGGAAGCTACAAATACGCCACCAACTCGAGTATCACCGGTTCCAGCCCACATTGCCTCTGCTGCAGGCATAAATGAGACAGTAAATAATCGTACACAACCTGATAAAACCGGGGTCGTAGGCAGTGATGCTACTTTCTGTGCAAATGCGGCACAAACTACTTTCCAAGTGGATCCTGCTCAGACCACTTTTGTTGTGGACAATCAAAATGCAAACGTGACAGTTACATTGAACAAAAAGTCTGGTGGAAATGGCGCACCGGTAGGCGACACCACGTACAATTTGCCTACTAGCGGAGCGAACAACTCAACTGCTTCTTCCCATCATTCAATGGAGACTGCAAAAGACACTACAAATCCACAGCCAGATAGTCTAATAACAGAAGATGAGTCGTTTGAACCAGATAAACCGAAGAGTAAGTTAGCAACTTTGCCAAAACCTGGGCCAGCTTCGACTAAATCCAAAATGTTCAAAATGCCAACGCGAACAAATGAGTTATTCAAGTAAGTTCAGATGAATACTGCAGAATTGGTGATTTTCGGTTTAATTAAATTGTATATATTTTTTTTAGCCCACTTGTCCAAAGCCCGGTAAAGAAAAAGGTGGAAGCTTTTGAAAATGCGGCAATTGCTGCTCATAATACGGAGGTCACTAGTACGGGTCGTCCAAAGCGTACTAAGGAAAACGCCGCTCCGGTAAAAAAAGCGAAGAAATTTATAAGTTAATATATCTTTGTAACCTTTGTTCTTTCCAATTTTCATTTTAGTCAAATTTAGTTACACCCATAATTGGAAAGATTGCTTCAGCGCCAGCGCTTGGTCGTTTCCTAACACCAACGCAATCTTCAAATTTAACAGGATCTTTGGTAAAGGTTAAGAAAGTGCCAAGCAGTGCATCCAAGGCTATGGCGCATCCAAAAGCTATAGCTAGCGTCAAAGCTGTTTCTGGTACGACTGCCAGTAGAGCATTATCCCGTGAAAATAGCGCGGAAGATTTCCGCAAAGGTTTGCATAACCTGGCTGAAGAGCGCAAGAAACAACGCGAACAGAAGCATCTGATAGCAGCACAGCAACGCGAGGCTAAAGAACGTGAGCGTGCTGAACGTGCTGCTAAATTAGTTAAGGAACGTGAGGAGAAGCGGCTCAAGAAGCAACAAGAGGTTGAACAAAAGAAACAAGCACTCGAGGATATTCAGCGTGTTTTGCGCCAGCAAGAGGAAGCTGCCAAATTGAAGGCAGCCAAAGCAAAGGCTGAACAAGAACGAGAACTGTTGCAGCAAATGAAGCAGCAAAATTCTCGCGCTGCTGCTGGTAAAATGCTCCCACCACCACCGAAAATGCAAGCGAAATACACATTTGAAATGTTACATGAAGATGATTCGACTGATGAAGAGGAAAAGACTTCGTACAAACGCCCACCGCCACCAAATTGGAGCCGAAGTAAGTTTAATATTCAATAATTCTCCCGCTTAAGGTTTATTTATCTGGCTTTTTTTCTGTTCGAATAGGTCACGTACGTGGTGCCGCGATTCGTATGCAACAATATTGGCCTACTAAAATAATTGACAGCTTCTTCTCTGTGCAGCCAATGTCACCCGATTTGCGTTCAATCTTTCCAAATATAAGTTCGCATCATTTGAAGCGTAACTCCAGCGTATTGTGGACAACACCACCGCGCTACTCTGAGCTGCCAAAACACTGAAATCGTGCTTGAAAGTAAAAGGAAGCATTCATTTTTTTTTGAATTTCACGTTTGATACAATGATATGTTTATTAATTTGAGATTAAATTTAAATTGTAGAACAAGCAGCAGTAGCTACTTGCTCAAATTATACACCTATCGTTTGTAATTGTTGGTTAATACCCATGCGCTTATTGGGCATGCTTTGGCATATACATTTAAAAATAAACATATATCGATTTAGTGGTTTCGTTCACCTACACATGTACTTCAGACTATCATACATATTTTGCATTTTTTATAAATAAAATTTTAAATAAAATATTTAATCACAAGCGCAGAATTGCGCAAATCACTAAAGTATCACGTTCGTTAAGGAGTTTTTGCATCACTTCTTCGCCCGCGGTCGCCTGCTTCTCAATTACCCCTTCATGTACGGCCGGACATTACATACAGTTACAGAAAGTCCTTTACAACATCAAAGTTTTAACAATCAACAGTGACGAGTGACTCGGACCAAAATAACCCAACTTCGCTCTGGCTACTGCAGCAGGTTGAACGCCTACCTGAGCAGACTAGATGCGAATGTGCCTAATGAGTGCCCGGTATGCGCAGATACAGAAGCTACACGCTTCTTGGGTCTCCCGTTGGTTTAGCTTGACGACAATGACTGAGAGACTAGCCCATCTGGGCGGGGTTGTTTGTTGTAGCCGCTACAACATCAAAACCAACAACAACGAGTGATCTAAAACATGGGGCTCCTTTTTTCGCAGGGTCGTACTTTGTCTTGGCCTTGTTTCACGCGGCTCGACCCCCTTTAACTTTCTCTAAGGTTGAGGAAGCGGTGGTAACGGCCCAACGAGGTCAATGGCATCAGCAAACGTCAGTAACATACCCCAGTAAAATAATTATATGTGCAATATGGTTTTCCCCATTTTAGCTCTATGAAAGAAGAGTAAAACCTTTTTCTGTATGCGATTTTAATAGCCTTTAGTTTATAAGTATTTTCATATGTGGGGTTGCCAGATTTTTCTTGCGCGAAATCAGTACTTTAGGCTTTTTCTTGCTATAAAAGTCAGTACTTTTCAGTACAATTTTATTCAAAGCAAACTTATGAATGTGAGTAACAGAAAATACCATGATAAAAACATAGTAAGGTAGAACCGCTGAGAGTCACTTTTAAAATTCTTGACGTTTCCAAACAATTTAATTTTTAAATTTACTCACAAACTCACACACACATTTTCATTTTCAATCTCAAGCAACAACAATTTCGAACAATTTCATTTTTTTATTTTCACATTTATATGATTTTAAAATGTTGGCAAACTTCAAAAAAAAATCATGGCCGACAAATTGAGAGAACGGTTATACCTTGCTATGTTTTTATCATGGAAAATACTTTAAAACGCCAGAGTACTTATTTTTAAAAATATTTGGGTATATAAAAAAAAATTTAGTTCATAAAAAAATGTTATTCATTTTAACATAAAAGAGGACTAGGAACAGAATGAATTACAGTAAAAATTTAAATGTATTTGAATCTCTGTCACAAATAAAAGTTCACAATCACGGTTGCCACAAGACCAAAGTCTGACCAGAAGTTACACAAAAAATTACCAAGTAAAAAACAACGTTTCATTATACAATAAACTGTAAACACAAACCTCGTTTATTTGCCATAACCCAACAAACACCAACCAAATATTTCTCCAACCTTGGAGAAATTCATAGTACTCAAGTTGATTCACAAAACGTATTTGGGCAGAAGAGAAAGCACGCTCCTGATGTTCCCACTCGTTACAATTATAACGTGTTGTCTCTTCTTATAGAATTACGTTCTTTGTTGATTTCCAACATTAGGTGCGTTCGTTTAAAATCTCCAGTAAAAACCAACCAACTGCCGAATTCCGGCAAAATGTCATCTGTTCTCTCACAAGAGAAAAATATCCCAAATAGTACGCGAACAGAAAATTTGCAGAAACTTGCAAGTTAGACGAACAGCTGATATATTTTTTTTTTTACATTAGTTGCATTCGATAACAAAATTAGCCAACACCAGCCAACAATCAAAATCAAGAGAGTAAGCGAAAATTCTCTCGCTTCCTCTCTCAATTTTTGTGTGTTGGACAATTTTTTGTCGTTATCGAACGCCATCCAGTAAAAATTTGGTTAAACTATTACAATTTTTGACTTGTCGAACGCACCTATTCAAAAGTGTAAAATTAGGTGCGTTCGACAAGTCAAAAATTTGTAAAAGTTTTTCCAAATTTTTAACTGACGGCGTTCGATAACGACAAAAAATTATTCAACACACAAAAATTGAGAGAGCAAGTGTTCATTTTGATGCAAGAGAAGCGTTCATTTTGTACTGGCAAAATTTTAGTCAGCAAAAATTATCCAACACGAAAACATATGATCACAAAACATATGGTTGCAATTTTTGTAAACAAACAAAATTGCATTTTCCCAGTTTTGGTATTTATATGCTTTTTGCCTCCCTGCTATGTGACTTTATGATAGCGCCAACCAGTTTTTACTTCTAGAAATGTTCCTGGCGAACATTGAACGTTCACTTTCCTTTTTTCCTATGGAGGCAACATGAATTTCAGTTTGTTTACAAATACAACATAAACAAAGTCAGCTGGTGTGTCTTCTTCTTCCGGTTTTTGCAAGTAATGGCTAATTTCCTGTTCGTTTACTTTTTTGCTTTTTCATCTCTTTGGGAGAGAATTTTCGCTTACTCTCTTGATTTTGATTGTTGGCTGGTGTTGGCTAATTTTGTTATCGAACGCAACTATTAAAACATATGAAAAGTCATCACAAAGTGTTATACTGACACAGTTTATTGATTAAACAAATAACTACTTATTTCTTACAAGTTTAATTAGTCGCATTTTGTAATTTTTAACTTCCAAACCATCAAATTCAATTTTGTGATTTGCGTAAATGCCAACCAGCTGTTTTTGATCAGCTGTTTTCCTGTTGGCAAATTGCTGTTGGCAAAAATTTTTCCAACAGAAACCAGCAGCTTCCCCTCAAAATGAAATGTCATTTTGCTCTCTCAATTTCCCCTAATTTGCAAGTTTTTTGCGTTCGCGTATGTTTTTTGCGTTCCTATCGAAACAGAGGAGTATATTAAAGAAAATCTCGTCAAAATCCGTTCAATAGTTTTCGAGATTACCGCGTACTAAGAATCTCGACTTTCCTTTATACTAGTATAGATGCGTTATTGCAACTTAAAATGTTTATTGAAATTCATTCGTAATACTAAATAATATAAATTTATGCATTCGCGTAAATTGTAAATGGATAAGCCCTTATAGAAGGCATGCAAGGAAGCACTTTTATCAGCCCTTCTTGGGTAGGCCTCTTAGAATGACTTTACTTATATTCTGGGTAGCCATAACCATAACCGTATGTCAGCTTCTCTGAGAACGTGGTACTCTTTATTTATAAAGCCTACTTGGTGTCCCCCCGTTATGGAGAAGCTCGGCCAAACACTAAAATTTGTTCAGGCGTTAATCTAGTATTATGTTATTGTTGTGCCTTTCAAAATTCATATATCAAGGGAGGGTATTTAATTAGCTAATGGCCACGTTTGAGAGGATACAAAGGTTGCACCGATCTCGGACCGCTATTCCTCTCTTAACGAATTTGACAGAATCGTTGTTTGCATGACGTCACACTTGTGCAACTTGTTTACGTTTTCCTTGCAACATTTTTTCTTCTTCTTCCATTCTTGCTCGCGTTTTGGCATTTCTCTCTCGCAATTGCACCAGTGTGACGTCACACAAAAGTTATTCTCAAAAATCCTCTCTGATCGGCGCAATCTTGTATTCTATCATTCTTGGCTTATGGCATTTAAATGATCAAAACCGCTAGCTTGCCACCAATTTATGAGGTTTCCCTATTATTCTATACTGGACTATACTACTAGATTGCCTGCAACCGCTTCGCTGAATGTATAAAATGTCTGCGTTTTACATTAAGTGTAATTTATTTCAACAAAACACAAAGTTTAAGATTCAGCCTAAAACATAGCAGATCTGAATTTTTTTTAACTCTCTTATATATGTTTTCAAACTAAATCCTTTTTAAACTCGCCTTATTACCTTAATACAGGACCAATTTGAGTTTCTAAACAGGTGGAAACCCTTATACATAAATACATGTAGTTTAGAAATGATACCTTTTCGAAACCATTTTGATTGATGCCCATCTAATAGATCATATAACTTATTGAATCTTTTTAAGTGTATTTAATTTTAAAACAGGTGGTAACCTTCTTCAATCACCCCAAAAAATTTATATGTTCTAACTAACACGGTGAGGCGATTTTACAGTAAACTTTTAGTTGAAAGCAATAATCGCCTGGTGTGAACGGCCTTTCAACTAATCGTAGGCTTTTAACACTCATGCGTTTGAGAATTTTTTATGATTTAATTGAGTTCGACTTTTCAAGCAGTAAACGAAATTCTCTACTTTCTCGAAATTATAACCGTCAACAGTGACGTGAGTGCCAAGGCGCTAATTCGCTGACTGTTTGTTCGATAACAGGAGATACTACGTCTTGTCCTCGTTGACCGCCAGACCCATTCGCTTTGCTTCCTTATCCAACTTGGAAATGGCAAAACAGACTTCGCGGTTCTTGCTACCGATGATATCGATGTCATGGGCGTACGCCAGCAATTGTCCAGTCTTGTAGTAAATTGTTCCTGAGCGGTTCAGTACTGCAGATCTTATTATCATCTCCAAAATCAGATTAAAGGAGGTGACTACTTTAAGTGCTATCGAAAGCGGCTTTGAAGTCGACAAATAGGTGGTGAGTGTCGATCTTTTCTCGCGGGTCTTTTCCAATATTTGGCGTATGGTCTATGATGGATTTTCCAGGTATAAAGCCACACTGATAAGGCCCAATCAGTTCGTTGACGGTGGGCTTCAGTCTTTCACACTATACGCTCGATAAGACCTTGTAACCTATGCTTATAAGGCTGATCCCGCGACAGTTGGCGCGAATGGCGGCGTCGCCTTTCTTGTGGACTGGGCAGAGCACACTTAAACTCCAGTCGTCGGACATGCGTTCACCTGACCATATTCTGCATAAGAGTTGATGCATGCACCTTAACAACTCCTCGCCGCTGTACTTGAATAGCTCAGCTGGCAGGCTGTCACCTCCAGCAGCTTTGTTTTTTTTTTTAAGCGCGCTATTGCTATTCATACCTTATCATACTCAGGTGGTGGACAACTCCAGTGCCGTTACCATTGAGTAGGGTGAAAAAGTGTCCCCTCTATAATTTAAGTACGTTCTGGACATCAGTCACTATGTCGCCATTGTTGTTCTTACAACAGTTCGCCCTGGTCTTAAAACCTTCGGTAAGTCGCCTAACTATGTGGTAAAATTTTTTGGCGTTTTTCTTATCGGACAGCATTTCAAGCTCTTCGCACCCACGTATTTCGGCCTGTCTCTTCTTATTGCGATAAATACGTCTCGCTTCCCTCTTTAGTTCCCTATAGCGGTCTCACATAGCTCGCTTTGCGCCCGATCGCAGCGTGGCCCTGTAGGCGGCATCTTTTTTCTCTGCAGCTTCTTGACACTCCGCATCGTAGCAGTTGTTCTTACGGGCACGTTGAAATCCGACTACTTCTTCTACTGCTCGCATATGTCGTTTTGTTGATTTAGATATTGGAAAGGTTTATTGTAGACCAACAACTATGTGCGGAGAAGTGAGGCTCGGTACTTAAAGAGAAAAAAAAACGACTAAAAAGTAATTTAAAAAAATGATAAGTAGCGTTAAGCTTAACTTCGGTGACATTATAGAATAACGCAAGCACAAAGGGAATTTTTCTACTTATTTTTATCTACTATGAGGGATCGTCTTACGTCCGTAGAATTGAGTTTTTCTCATATTTGCAAAATAACCAATACAGAAGACGAATTACACCAGAGCATTGAAAGCTTTCAAAACCTTTTTCATTTATTTTTTTCTTTTCTGTTTTACTTTTTAGCCATGTCTTGTTTGTAACAATGTAATATGAGTTGTTGTTGTTGCTCATTTCTTGGTTATTGGCGTTACCTTGACGCCGGTATTCACCACACTTTCTTGTGGTTCGACCTGCTCTGTTAGCCAACTAATTTGAGTGATCAGTTAAAGTCGGATCGTGCTTGAGTTAAGACGTTTGTTTAAAGCCAGCATTGGTAAGTGGCAAGTGCGGGACAAAAACTGAGCCGAAGGAAAAGAGAAAAAAGGTAACTAAATGAAGTGAGGTACAGTGGTGCAATGTGAAATTAAAGTACGAAAATTAAAAATTGCTTTTGAAATTATTTTTAAATATTCGGTGACCGTAGTATGTCGCGTGTGACTTGTGGCAATACAAGCAAAAATAACAACAGCAACAACTACAATACATGTACTAATGCATATAAGCAAGTGAACCAACAAGTATGTATGTATGCATATTTATGTATGAGATCGAATGTGATATGATACTATTAAAGAGGGGCTGAAGACAGGTGAAAAGCACCGCGTCTTGTGGATTTCAAAATGAGTGAATTTCTCAAAAAGAAACAAGTTTATACTTATGTATGTATGTACATAAGTTTCTAAAGATGTTTAAATTATGTAAATTTTTTAAAAAGTTTACTCGAAAAGTGTGGCATATGGAATTCGTTGATAAAGATATTTAAAACAAAAACAACGGCGTTGAGTTTTAGTGAGTTTTGTGAAAGAAACCTATAACTTACACACTTTGTCTTCGCGTACTCCAACGCGCATACATGCCTGCATATGTAGTTACAAATACAGTGTGTCTGACAAACAGACAGACAGATACGCAGCGCAGTGGCAGATATGACTGCAAAGTTGGCGTAAAAAACTTTCTTTTTCGTCAGCATTCGCTCACTTTTGCGTGAATCTTTATATATGAATGTAGGTACGGTGGCGGGCAAACAAATAGGGACGCGACATTTTAACAACTTTTTGCTATTTTTCTTTCGTTTGTTTAATTTTTATTATTTTTAAGGTGTAAACAACTTTGCTCCCTGTATGTGTAAAAAGACGTCTCGCTTAAACCAAGACGAGTTCAAAAGTAAATAGTACAAATGAAAAAAAAAAATTAGTCAGCTGTCGGGACCTTCTCGGGTCTAGTACGGCCCCATTTCTGGTATTTTTTGGAACAATTTCTGGACACAGATGTTGACACAAATGTTTATGAGTACCTGGTACACTCGTTTTTTTTACTTTATCTATCTAATAAAGATCGTGTGAGTCAAAATTTCAAACTTTGTACTAGATTTACAAAAATTCGACGAATTTCAACAAATCTGTGCCTGTCAATTAAAGAAGCTTAAGTGACTTTAGAAGGTTTGACTTTGACTTTAAAAAATAATCAGTTTCCCTTGAAAATTTTTATATTTTTACCATTGAACTACACCTATGGCTAGTTAAAAGATAAAATGTATTGTCTGGAAACCCAATGATTATTACGACGCATTATTAATTAAGAATTACAAAAAATCCTTGGAGTGCAGCTTTGTAGTAGATTCAATTTTAACATAACAACATTGTTGAATATACTTTCTATGAGAGAAAATGTGTGACACCGGCAGAAAAAAAAATGCCAAAAATTAACGGTTAGTCCTAGCTAATTCAAAATTGCACTTTATCGTACTAAAATTTAAGTGGCTACAAAGTTGCGTGCCCAAATTTTTCTAAAAGTTCTGATTGACAAGTTTGAAATATTGATGTAACTTTGTCGGATTTTCCTAATTATTGTACAAGGTTTGAAATTCGGACTTATATGGTTTTTTGTTATATACTACGTATACTTAAAAAATAATAAACATTCAATTAAGGAAAGAAAAATAGTCAAAACTTGTTAAAATCCTGCGTTCCTATTTATTTTCTCGCCGCTGTATGTTGCCAATAAGCATACGTGCATGTGTGCATTTGTGAGTGCGCGTTATGAACGCATGTGCGCGTAAAACTTCACTTGATTCTGCTGATATATGTACATTCATATGCATGTATGTAAAAAAATATCGAAGAAAAAATGATGAATTACAGAAAAAATATAGAAATTGTGGAAAAAGTGGAAAATTTGCAATAAGCAAAAAAAGTATACGTACATATGTATGTATGTAAGTAGCTAATGGCAAAGACTTTGCAAAACAGTAGAAAAATAAAAGCAAAACATTGAAATGTGAAAAGTCGCCATGGAAAATCGTACAAGAAAAATAAAAGTGTAACATTGTGTCTTAATTGAATTGCATATTTGCTTGCAAGACAATTCAGAATGATAATTATAGTGCGAAAACGTACAAATGTATGTGTGTGTGTGTGTGTTCTTGGACTACTATTTGTTTGTTGATAGCAATTGGGTACGCCAGAGCTAAATGAGGTTGCATAGCGGTAATTAACAAATATATATGTATGTACATAGGTACAATTTTCGTATACGAATATTAAGCTGCGTCGACTTTGCGATTAACGCCCCCTGTCATTGTTTGACTTACTTACTTTGGAGAATTCCGGTGCTCAAAAACAAAAAAAAAAACAATTACGCGCTAGCCGTTCAAAATCAAGTATTTTTCACAAAGAAATAATGAAATCATTAATTTTGAATTTTTTGAGACCTTGAAATTTTCGAATTTTTTCGGTCTGTTCGGAGATTACCGGGAGGGTTTGAGAACCTTTCCGGAGATTTTCGATACTTTATAGAGTTTTACTTGGCTTTAAGTATTCCAGTCCAGCCTGTAGTCCAGTTTTCGGAACTTATTGCATTTTTCTGGGTGTTTTCAGGTTCAATGGCAGCTTAAAAACTTCTTATTTGACATTAAAAAGTTTTTGCCGCTCTGGTCCGAGAACTGAAAACTTCGCCACTTGGTCTATCCATTTTGTTCTTGGGCGCTCTTGCTTTCCTTGTCCATCCATGGGTACAGAGTCGAAGGATATTTACACTGGAGCGTTGTATTTTTATACGTTTAACTATGTCCATTATGTCAAAAAACTCGTCCTCTTCGTCATTCCACCTTCTTCGGTACCCGCCGCCCACCGCGATTAAGGTCACAGATCTAATGTAGATTAACTCTTGAAACTTCCCAGAGCCTTCTCATCTTTGTCCAACATTGTGCACACTTCTGTGCCATATAATTCTGATGAGACTGAGTGGCCATGCCTAAATCCCCGTTTGAACTGCAACGGCTCGGATAGGTCCTTGCTAATCTAAACGGAGAACGAAAAATGGCAGCGGAGTTGACACAACGCCGAAATCGGTTTGTCTCCAAACCAAATTTGGCAAAGAGTGACAGAAATTCGTTTCAAAACACATCATCGACGCACCACCAAAAAGGAATTGCTACTATTTTTTAATTGGTAGGCGTAGTTAGATGACAGAGCCCACCGGTGTTTATTGATCTGTTACAATAATTGTTTATTTGCTGTGCTTATTCCAAAACAAATGCCACTGCAATTTCGTCGAAATTTCTGACAAAATTGGGACACTTCTATCGAAAAGCCATCAGCAGTAAGTACGTATGCGCATCGAAACTTGATTCTTACTGCAATTCAACACTTAGCTTTTTCTGGCTACTTCAGGTTCAGTTGACTACAGTCTTGTTGCTGCCGCTGGCAATCGCGGCATTCCAACCGGTAATTTGGCCATCATAGTTGATGGCTGTTGAATGAATGCGTGGCTGTTGTTTTGATTGTTTGATAACTCAGTTAAACCAACGGTGAAATTGTTGATCACAAAAATGATTTATATTAGTAAATATATTAGGGGTCTTCATCTAAAGTGGTAAAGGTATAAATTATAAATATAGTGATAGGCTTTATTATTGAGCGCTGCTCGATGGCAAAGCACAGTAAGCGGTTGGGCTACCCAACAAATATTTTCTATCGCAATTGAAGGGGCTAGATAGAGGGGGAAAGAGTCGACTAGTTCCTCTGCTACCCGGATGTATAAACACTTGATATAAAAGTTAGTGGTGGTGCTTACTAAGAACAGTTAAATATATGTATGTATGTATCTTTCATTTTCTGTCTTCCTGCTTACTGCTGTGTTTTCCAAGTGGGAGTGGAGGCTCCCTAGAATGTTTCTCGTACGATCCTTGCACTATGGGAAATTTGAGCCTATTTTGTGGCCAAAAGTCAATTTCTTGACTTGCTTGAAATTAATCTTTTTGTCTTATTTTACAGAGAATACTTCATAGTAAAAAACTGTATATTCTGTTTTTCGATAAATTAACATACCGTTGATTTGGTAAACAGATAGTTTCGGAATTTTCTGTAAACGAAAAATGTGTAGCTTGATTTTGTGCCACTTTCAAATGCGTGTATCTCATAATCTATTTGCTGCTTTTCAAAAGTGAAAAGTGGAAAGAAAGAGTGACGGTTAGCAGAATATTTACCAATTAAAACTTGGATTATAGTTTTAAGGTTGTGCCAAAGAAACGTCCGCATTTAAGTGACTTTAAAGTGAAATTGTACGATTAAAAAAAAAGTTGATTTAGTGTTTTAAAAAAATGCTCAAAAACGTTTAAAAAATACTCATCACAAATCGATAGAATAGTCCCTGATCTCTTATTTCCCCATAATCGTATACTGCGATTTGTACGATATTAAAGAAATTGTAAATTTTCTTAGGTAACTACTTGGTACAAAATCATGAATTTTATGAAATAATTCACGGTGTTATAATTTAAAAGATGGAACAAAACCTGTCAGATAACAAAGAGAAGGTCTTAAACTTAAGGTCGGTGGAGGATTCGAGTCGATATTTAAAATAGAACGTACGAGGCATCTGTTTATTGGGTTGGCGTCCACTGGACCCCGTGTGACCATTACGACATTTTTTGGAGGTGTGACCATTACGGGTTAATTTTTGTGTGGCAAGGCCACTACTTCCAGGCCTACTACTAGGCCCAGTTTTAAATTGATATCTCAACTTTTAGAATTTTGGCTACAAAATAGGTTCAAATTTCCCATAGTGCCTTGGTCAAGACATCTACATTTAATTTTTAAACCCAATGCGGGATTACAAAGGACTCTGAGCATACGTGAGTCCTACAGGGGATTGCCGGCCAACCTAAACTAACCGAGCCCTGTCTGATCTCGACATTGTGGACATCTCCAAACTTGAAGGTTTCTTTAATAAAACGCGGGAAACAGAAGGAACGGAAAAATATCTCGCCCAAGTAGCATCACAATCACTTAACCAAAACTGCGATACCAATTTAGCACGACATTCAAATGGCAGACAACCTATGAGTACATTTCTGTCAAAACTGTTTCGGCGTCTCGTTAATAGCCATTTATTCAACAACATCAAAATGCATACGAACTACTTAACCTTCTATCTGACAATGTTATCCGTTACCAAGTTTATGCCGATGATATAGTCATCATTGCCAGAAGGAAGTTTGACAGAACCATCTGCGACAATATTAAACGGGGCTTGGATGATGTGCAAATCATTCCGTTCACAAGAAAAGGGCCCTGCTAGGAATGGCGATTCTAACTCTGGATAGGCTCGTGGTTACCATCGCCAGTGAAGTGACATATCAAGAAGACAATCGCTCACCAATCCACAATGACTGGCATATATGTACATACATATGGTATGTAAATGCATAACAGGAGCAATGCGCCTATGTCCGACGAAGCAGTTCTCGAAATCGAGCCATATATAACCATAGAGCAGGCTGTGAAAAGAATTCTCTGACTTTGCTAGAGAGCGATTTGGAAAAGGAGATATTATATTCTCTAGGAATATGTAGAGGCTAGCGCCTTCGCTCACGTGATCACTATTCTCTATTTGTACGTATGTTTACTTTTTTTTAGAAAAAAAAAATTTGCAAATCAATCGCGCTCAATCTTATTTCAACAATGGTACATTTATATTTTTTCAATGGCAATAACTTTCATTCTGTTATCTTGACTAAACATTGGCCATCCAAATACCATTGTACACATGTATATTCAAGAGTCGCAGTTGAACACATACATATATTTTTATTATAAGTACTATATTGAAATCGGGAACACAGTTCTAAGAGCGCCAATAACTTGCATGCCAAGTCTTTTTGTATATGTATGTATATATATATATATATGTATATATGTATACAAACATTGTAAGAGTGGTTTGGTACACTTGTATGGCATTGGGAGTAGGCAGAAATGCTAACCGGACACTCAGGTGAAATGAAACAGGAATGACAGCTAATGTAAACAACCGACCAGTCAACGGCAGAATGACAAACTCGCCAAATCGTCAGAGTCATGCAAGTTTTTCATTTACTTACATAGTACATACGTACATACATACGTAAATGTAGATAATATCCAGCAATGCTTGCTCCAATAGCAACAAAAAACTTAATAAAAAGTATACTATGCAATTGTACAGAACAGTAAAATAGCAACAACCAGTAATTTTTGTTTACATCTTTTTATGCAACTAACTGGCCACTTGTTGTTCTTGTATCTACATACAATTTATTTGTATTTGCAACTTATTACGAGTATACTTATGTACATTTGTATGTATATTTTGGTGTGTTGGTGGTGCTACACATGACATTCAGCTGCGTTCCAAAAAATGTGCAGCTGGAAAACTGTTACTTGTGCTATTTCTGTGTGCCATTTTCCCCGCCAACTGTAAAACTGCAATGGCGGGCTAAGCTTCCTTTATGTTGGTATATGTATATGTATGTATGTATGTAGTATGGAAGTAAGTATGGGTGTCTGCATTTTAAATAATTGCTGCTGCGTGTAATAGATGAAAAGTGGGTAAATCGCGGTGGCATGTGGCAATATGTTGTAAGACTAACGAGATAACCTAAGCGTATGATGCCACATTGTCTCCAACTGACAATAAACTAGCTAAGTATATACATACATATGTACCTACATACATACATACATGCATTTTTTGAAAGTGCTCTAAAATACATATTGTGATTCACATTTAATATCCAGAATTATGCTGTGTTTTTTTCCAATTAAAAACAAAAACCAATGCTAACTAAATTAAGTGTGTTAAGTTTTCTTCAGAGTTTTGTACTCAAGTGAAAAGTATTTAAAATCTTTGCGTGAAAAATTGTTTAACTACATAAATACATCGAACATTTACCTTCATACATACTATGTATGTATGTATGTGATTGTGCGTGCTTAAATCACCAGCTAATCTCACTGCGTTTTTTTCGAAAACGTTCGTATTGTAGTTGTGCTCCAAAGCAGATGAGCATGCATTTGTGTTATTCATTGACTTGAACGTTGTTTGCTGTTAGTAAACTTTTTTCTTCGCTTGTTGCTGCTGTACCACTTGCAGCCTATTCCTTTGGCATTTGCTGCAAGCGTAGTTCGTCTGCGCGTATGTGGATTAGTTTGGCTGATATTTACCGCCGCTACCGCTGTTGCCGTTGCTGTAACGAGACGCGCCTATAAAGTGAAGGTGAGTTTTTCACGCTACATAAATAATAGAAAGCTTAGCAGCCAGCCGTCCGTCGTTGCAATGACGAGACTTACATAGGCTGCTCATTTAAGCATGGATAACCAAGAGTGCGGCGCACAGTGGTGTACAAGAGGAAATAAATAAAATTTGTATAGGTCTTCAGATCTTTTATTTTATTTATTACATGTACATAAGTAATACATATATTGGGATAATAGTGTACCTTTTAAATTAAGGGGAGACGACGTCGGCTGAGCTGAGCCGAGTTGAGTTAAGTTGAGTTGATTGAAGTGAATTAAGTTGAAATGCGTTAAACAACAAAAAAGATTATAACACAACACAACACAACACAACACAACACAACACAACACAACACAACACAACACAACACAACACAACACAACACAACACAACACAACACAACACAACACAACACAACACAACACAACACAACACAACACAACACAACATTCTTCAATTTTATCCTTTTAGTTTGCTTTTTAGTTTTTTGCTCTGCCGTTTTTTTTCTTTTCATTATCTAAATATTCACCCACACCTTTGCTATTATATTGAATATTGAAATTTACCTTCGTCTTTGTCTTTATGTTTAGGTTTCTTTACTTTTATTTAAATATCTGCCTTTATCCCTTTCTTCTTCTACATACTCAACTTTGCCTTCTTTCCTGTACAAGTCTTAACTAATTACAAATTTGAGAAATTTTCTGCACACCAGTATCAAAATACCTTTCTAATGATATATAATTGCTTATACCTAAGAAGTATAGTTTAGCCGTAAAAGGGGTGTAAGGAAAATATGATTATGATTGCCTATTCATATATAAGGTAATATATTGGCGCTTACACAATCAGGGGATTCCCTTAAACTCGTTAAGTCGTAGACTATGTAAAACTCGTAAGTTTTCGAGGCTGTTACGGGAACGGCCCACTTTGGCAAATTTGCAAATAGGTGCGTAAAGTGACTGTTTGACAGGTTGAAAAGGGTTTTGTGAATACATTTTTGTTTCGTATTATTTTTCATAACAGCCTGTCAGCTCGAATGAAAGCTAAACTATAATTTACAGTTAGTGGATGAAATTTGTTAATTTTGTTCACCTATTATTTTTTCCATTTGTTTTCAGTATTTTATCATGTATTTTTCATGGCAGAATACACTTGGAGGTTTGCCATTGCCTGCCGAGGGGCGACAGCTATCAGTTAGAAAAATACTTTTTATTTTTTTCAATATTGTTATTGAGCTTTGTACCACGATTATGTGAGCTATGCGCTAACCACTGAGCTGTGATGTTGTTCGGAAACTGGGCTTGAACTCAGACCCATTTTTTGGCGTTCAATTATAATATTATTACAAACATATGGTGAAAATTTCGGAGTCAAATTTCCTTTTTTTATAGCATTTCTAAGGCGTTTTATAGGTTAATTTGCATGGGAGGTACGCTTTAAAATAAATCGATCATGCCTATTTTTCGTTGTTTTCTTAATTCATGACCATAAATTGTGCATACGGAAAATTAGTTTAAATTAAGAAAAAAATATATATGGAACTGTACCACTGTGCTTCGTTCGAAAGACGTCTGATGCTGAAATCTAAATCCGCGCGAAAAATCGTTGCTATGCCGGATTTAGAATTTCAAATTTACACATGCATACACCCGACAAACTTTATAAATCCTCATCTGTGTGTTTGTATGCGTTTATTTTCGTAAGGTTGTTGCTTTGCTTAATTAAGCCAATTTTGGTTTTATGACTTGTGCATATTTAGATTTTTCCTAATTTTAATGAAAAACTTAAAATTAGATTAATTAGCAAAAAGAAAGAAAATTTAATTATTCCAACGCATTTGGTAAGATTTCACATTCGGAAGTAAACTATTAATTTTCAAAACAAAAATTGAAAGCTTACTGCCGAATATGAGTTAACTCATCACTGTGATAACTGCGATTAGACTGATCCCGTTCCACGACCAAAAAAACTAAAAAATTAAAAATAAAAATAAAAACAACGAGAGATTTGATAAAAATTAAAAGTTCTTAACCCTCTTAGCCATTTTTTTGCTTCCAAGGCAGACAAACAAAACACACCTTTTTCCATGGTGAATTTTTTCTGTCGTTGTAGATCGTTATTTTTCGATAAAAAATAATCGTTCTTTTGAAATTTTATTACATTTTCACCATCAATTTTAATCCTTATAATTGAAACACACTTTGTTTCGATCATAATTGTGTTTTTGTGTTCCCTTAGTAAAAGCATTTCCTTAACACTTTTGTAGAACATTTTACCTATGTTAAATAAGAGCCAAAAACTCATAATGAAGTTAATGGGCTAAATTTTGTTCACAAAAAAAGGCTCGCTTTAAAAAACAAATCGTTATGATTTGAAGCAAACGCTTCCTCTGGTGGGTAAGTAAAGGAACGGGGTACTTGAGGTCAATGAAATATGGAATAAGAAATAGTATCCTCGAGCCAAGAAAATCAATTTAAACGCCGAGGATATAACGTACAATTTTAAAAGGTGGCTTATAGCTACGGTGACCATTATTAACGGTTTTTGGCGGGACAGTACTGATTTTGAGAAAGGTGTCCCGCTGAATATTTTTTAAAAGTCGGGGCGCGTCCTACTTTTTCATATTTGTACCGCTTAAATCCAGATTTTGAGTGCTTTCTTTATTCATTTAATAGAAGTCTCCGTGTACTCTAGCCCAAAAACCATCATTCGGACGTGACAGTACGTCGTTATCTCAAAGAACATAGAATATAAGGGAGCCGTAAACATACCCATCCATAAACATTCCTTTCTTTTATGATCTTTGGTTATGTTTCTATCATTCATGCCTTAATTTTCTTTTAGATTTTTATATTTTTTTTTTTTTTATAATGAAACGATACAAACTTGATATGAAAAAATATTAACTAACATATTGATACCTGAGTGGAAGATCCACCAATCTCGGCAGCCAGTTCGAAAAAGCTCTCTATCTCAGAAAACTTTTCAAGAACACCCTATTTCAGAATTCGGCTGAAGAACGCGATATCTCAGAATTCAGTTCAAAAATGCACTATCTCAGCTGCCGATTCAAAAATGCCCTATATCAGCACATTTTCAATGTATTTTCAGCTGAGATAGGACAATTTTGAACCGAATTTGGAGAAAGGGTGTTTTTGAAATAAATATGGCATGGTTTTCTGAGATAGGGCGTTTTCGGACTGGCTGCCGAGATAAGTCGATCTTTCATTCAGGTGTCGATATGTATAAAATTTTGCGATAATTTTTCAAGTTCGTTTCTCTTTGTTTTGTCTTAAACTCTATTATTTAAACGATACTATGTATTTTTATTCTAAAAACACAATTGTATGTTTTGATTTGATGCTTAGAAATGTCCTCATTTTCGCCCACAGAAATCTGATCACCGTACCCATAGCTTCGGTCTTAAAAAATATTTAGATTCAGGCGTATACGGCGATCTTTTTTGTTTGCTTGTAAGGTGGTATGGCCTAAAGTACATACATACAAGTACAAATATATGTAGAAATAATGCAAAACACAACTCACACATCAAATGGTATAGCTAACAGTTGAAGTTTTTAACTCTATAAAAAAAAAAATTTCAGAATTAGCCACAGTGACAAAAGGTAATTTTTTATGTTTTCTTTCCTTCGCTATTTCGATTTGCCGCATTTAGACATTTGATTGTGATATATTGCCCTTACCACTACAAGTCAACCATTTCCAGTTATTCATTGCATGGAGGTTCGTGTCCAAAGTCTTTAGTTTTGCAATCGCCAATGGCTCAAAAGAGGTGACTTCAATATGATTGCATAACAACAGCGGTAAAACCGTACATGAGTAGCTTAAATTGCACTATTCATACAAAAGGTGTGTACCTAATTCAAGCTTGTATACAGTTTAATGGGTCTATGATACATTTAGTGATACACTCGCAGATCCGTATTCCATTGTTTTTTTTTTTATGTCGCCAGTGAGTCATATACCAAGCTTCCTTCTGCTGATTCCAAAAAAGCGAGTCAGATATAAAATAAAAAGAAAAATAGGAATACAAAAAATTATGTACGAAGAAATGAATATAAAACCGCAGATGAAGGCTGCGAAAATTTTCACCGGTTAGTGCCCTTCTGCGAAAGCAAAAGTAATTTTGTAAACTGGTTTTTAAACACACTCCAAAAAACAACAACAACAAAAACACAGAGGAAAACGGTATACTTGTGAATGCATGCATATGTAAATACGTTTGTATATGTAAAAAATTTTATGAGTTTTATCCCTTTCTCATTCTCATTTAAAAGAGACACTCATATCATACCATAAATGCGTATGTATGTGAGCAACAAATACATATAAATGTATAGACATAACCTACAATAAATTAAAAAATCATACCTTCTTGCAAGCAAATAAAAAAGTTCGCCGTACATCCCTAAGTCTAAAAAATGTTTGCGAGGCAATTGCGAAAATTTTTTTTCCCGAACCTAGGGGTCTCCTTTTTACTTTTTTTTCAGTGACCCCTACATTCGAAAATAAATACCTACATTTTTTAAATAGCTCCACTGGAATAATCAAAATATGCACTTCCTTAACAAAAGTTTAATGATTTTTGGTGAGCTTTAATTTACTGATATTAGGGTGGTACGCTAGGTTGATAAGAACTGAGATCTGGTGGGTAAGTTCTAGAACGGTGTACTTGAGGTTAATGAATTTTGGAACAAGAAACAAATTTTCATCTTGAGACAAGAACGTCAAGAACCGACTGCAAGCACCGAAGATATAAATTAAAATGCAAAAGGGCCAAAAAATCTTAATTTTTTCGAAATTGCCTATGCAAAAATATTTTCAACTAGGGGGTGTAAGTTGAACTATTTTAATGTATTCTAATGTACATATGTACGCATAATGGAACCGTATAAATAATTAGTTTGTTGAAAGCAGTACTTACACAAATATGTACATATTTTTCTGGGTATCACATA